CCATACAGAGTAGGATTTCCAAATATAACTCTCATCATATGCTAATTTACCAAGTTCAAAATTTTATATTTGATAATGGGAAATCCAAACTAGTCCTGATTCACGGTGTTGATGAGCTCATTCGTGCAACCACCCTTATCTAATTTCAGTAATAACTATTTCATACTGGCCCAATTCCAAGTTTTTTTTAGTCATACTGTTGGAAATCCAACCTCATCAACCGGTATGTGGCGAGATAAACTAGGCCATATTTTATTTAGTAGCCATATCTGCCTGGATTTCTGGGAATTTTTTTTTACATACTCGTCTGGATTTCCAGATTCTGTTTCTCCATATACAGTTGGAATTCCGGGGTATTTTCCCCATCATACAGTGCTGGAAATCCGACCACATCAACAGGGGGGTGCAGATATAAACTGGAATGGCCCATTGTATGTGTAGTTTAATTGTACTTTATTTTAAAAAACTTTAATACAGCAATCATCAAAACTGAAATGGCAGATTTAATTAGGGATGTAATAAAGCATTTATTCTATTCTATTCTGTTCTATCTATTCTATTCTATTCTATTCTATTCTATTCTATTCTATTCTATTCTATTCTATTCTATTCTATTCTATTCTATTCTATTCTATTCTAAATATGAATATATTTCAACGATGGATGTCTAATTGTAACCCAATCAATTAGCCTGGGTTCTTTTGATTAATTAGAATCAGTTATATATTACACCACATTGTATAAATTATGGGAAACAATCCAACACTGTAAAATCTTTATTAGAAGCTGCAGCTTCTATTTAAATGGTACAATGCAACAGAGAGTATGCGGTTACTACTAGAGTATCTACACATATAAGAAATCATGAATTTTTGGTTCTCAATTATTCAAAAAGAATGGGTGCGACCTTCTATTAAGAATGCTGCTTCTAATACAGATTTTACTATTACTTTGGATTATTTTGGATCAAAGTGAAACATTAAACAATGGAACACTTTTTTTTTTTAAATAGTTTTTTTGTGCCAGGCGACAGTTCCGGACATTGAATGTCACTGTTGTCTCTTCTGACTTTTTTTTTGTTTGTGCAAATTGCAAGTGCTAGTGCTGACACATAGTGCATTTTTGCTTGGAACTACATGACAGGGCTGTGTGGCCATCTCTCTATCAAATGGCAATTTTAATGCGCTATCCTGGTGTCAACCAGGCTTGGTCAAACATAAGCACCTGCGTACCTTAACCAAGGTTCCCCCCAAAAATCGAGTTCGTTAGTAAATGAATCTCGGCCAGTGGACTGACCTTCCCATTGAGTCTGTGGCACACTCACCCAGGGTAGGGGTCGACCCTTTTGATGTTCAGCTTAATGTTGGATTTGAACTTGGGTCTACCGATCATGAGTCTGATGTGACAACCACTATGCGACCAGTGGTAATGAAACACTCAATGAATTCAATTCACACTCTTTACTAAATTTATAACAAATAATTTCAACTATCATACTTAAATAATTCAATGCTTATTGGACTCTTAAAATCAATGTCCTGCTGCTCTGTCACACTACAATATCACAAAGCATCTTGTGTCACTTTTGCTATTATGTGCACTTCACACTGCGCCATAATGTCAAGAATTGTCACACTATGTTCCAACTCTACTCAAAAAACCAACTCTCTGTCTATACATGTACCAATGTTATAAATTTTGGTGTGCCTGAAGACTAGGGCAATTGTTTAAATTATTATCTATCACAGAGAGTAATTAAATCATCGGTGCTATTAAGTTAATGTTCACAGGAACCTTGATTCTAGTTTACGGCTTCCTCATCTTAATAAAGATTTTAGATAATCATATATGGACGATTATCCCAATGTAGTATGTTAAATGGTAAATACACAAATTAGTACACCTAATGAACAAGACAATATACTGGCACTAAACGATGTACCTGACCTAGTTTAGCTACTAGGTATAAACACTCTTGTGTACAGCAGCAATGTGTATATTTACTAAATTGTGACCCAGCAATCTCAAGTAGTGGTGTTTCAGAGATTGACTTAACATAACGTAGTGTACAGTACGTATCTCAAAGATGGTTACAACAAATAAAGTAATGCAGTTTATTTAGATCAAGTGGGATCTTAGCAGCGACTTCAAGTATAAGGGAAATTAAACTCATCGCAGCCTATACTGTAAAATACTTAAAGCGCGGTGGTCGTCGCGCAGCGCGTGTTCGAATTTCATGTAAATAAACAATGTATTTTACATGCATTGTATACATCGCTATGAGTTCCATATCGAACAGGATGCGGCACGTCAACTGTCGCCTTTTAATTAATTACGTTATTTTCGCTGAAAGTATGATTCAGTGAAAATAAATTCCGTACAAAACATCTAAAAAGTCTTTTCAGCATAAATTCATTCCAGCTAAAATAAAGTATTTTACAGTATATGATGTAATACTGGTACAGTAGACATGTTGTATAAAATCAGCCACAGCATCATAGAGACTAGTCACACTGAAATCTTTGACAAATTCTAATGACCAAAATGAAGGGTTTATATATACATACATGTAACCCACGATCATAAATTTGTTTAGTTCTGTGAGCTAAATTTACCAACAAATCACAAACAACCCTGCACGTGAGCTTGATGTCATTCTAACATACAATTGGTTAATTAATAGACTGATGTCATAGTCTTGCATATTAATTTGACTGACTGACAAATTCCGTTTTTCCCAAATACAATGTACTGTAAAATACTTTACTTTCACTTGGAATTAATTTTCGCTATTTTCACTGAAGGAATGATTCAGTAAAAAAAAAATCCAGCGAATATACAGGTACCTTTTTTCCTTTATTTTACATTCAACTCACCAAAAATCAGTGAAAATAATTTCCATTCAAAACACCCAAAAAGTCTTTTCAGCGAAAATTATTTCCAACTAAACTTTTACAGTATTTATATATATGCAAATCAGCATGCAATTCACATCTTTTTCCCACTAAACTGTACAACCATCACACACACCATCAAAATAATGATGACTGCTGAATTTCTTTAGTTACGTTGGTAACAACTATAACCCCAGATAGCACTATGTATCGGTGAATAAATGTTACCAGAGCCGACTAGTGATAAGGGTACTATGGATGAACCAACCAACAATTCATGTACATAGAAATTTGTGTACATAAATTCACTTCATTGAATTCCAAATTATTCTTAGTCTGTAAAACAATTGTAAGCTGCACACATATAATATTCACTCAGTAGTTCACACATTAGCTGCAGACACCATGCATATTGGGAATCTGTGGAAACTTTCAGCAGGCAAATTTGTACACTGATCAACATTTGTGCGAAATATCAAAACTCTCACAGAATCCAAATACTGTAAAATATTTTTATTTTAGCTGAAATTAATTTTCAAAAAGAGTGTTTTGTGTGGAATTTATTTATTTAAAAGTTGAATGTAAAATATGGGAAAAAGGGTATACTCGCTGGATTTATTTTCACTGAATAATTCCTTCAGCAAAAATAGCGAAAATTAATTCCAAGTGAAAATAAAATATTTCACAGTATATTACACAAACTGCGAAAATACTAAATTCATTACTTACACAATTTCTCTTGGGGTCCCCAGGTTCCATAAGCGTGTTACCAGTGCTAAGAATGTCAGCAATACGATAACCAGATTGATTTCAACTTTCCATGTTACAAGTGGTTTTTGTTTCGACTGTGGTCCATTTTCCTGCCATGATGTATTCTATAATCAAGACATAAGTTTCAATACACCATTTCTATAATTGCCCCCTCTAGTGGTGGAAGGTGTATGTGATGTTAATATGACATATATTGGTGAAGGCGAAGTCGTTTAAATCGACCACTGTGTTTGATTGTGTAGTCATTCGTCATCTAGAAAATAGTCAAATTTCTCAAAAACATCCTTTATTGATGGACGGATAAAGATCAAAATGATATCGACATTATAGACAACTTTTGTGTCACCAATGTATGCCTTAGAGGTGCTTCAACACCAGAGGGTGCAATTTATAGGAAAGGTGAGCACATGGGCAGCACTAATTTCAGGTATAAATGTATATACCAGTAGTGGGTGGGGTCATCTTTAGTGCAAAAATACGAATAATTAATTCATAATAGTGTGTAAAGTGATTGAATAATGTTTTGGAATATGATTAAAAAATAAAAATGTGTAGACCAACCTGCAGTAGTAGTAACTGATTTCTTCAGTACCAATACTGGGTTTTTATTTTATTTTACTTTAATATATTTCTCAATGTCTATCATTGATTGTAAGATTGTTTGGCTGATCTGATAGGCGTGATTTTTTTACTTAGCTGAAACCCAACAAAATAAAATTAGGCAACCCAGGGTAGAAAGACCATCTTCTAACTAAAAGTGTTGAATACGAAAATTAAAACTGTCTATATTTAAATCATTCCAACTATTTGACATTATGGTGGTTCCTATTCTATTGTATGGTAGTGAAATATGGGGATATTAGAATGCTCTTAAAATTGAGTTCAACACCAATTTTGTTTTGTACACTTCTTTTAAATGCGAATAATAAAG